CACACACACTCTCTCTCTGTCTCCTTTTCCCTCAGTCGCCTGTCTTTCTCTCTAAATGTATCCTTACGTGCCCACGCACCATAACCAAACCAGCCTGCTTATTCATGTTGCACCGAGGTATCACTTTATTTCTCTGCTATTATTTCTTTGTGAAGTTGCTTCGGTATAACTTGCCCCAGACAGCGCTACACTGTCCCACCCTCATTATATTTTCACACTCTGCTACCCTAGGATACGGGAACACACACACACACACATTTCCGCACAAACCCAGTTCTGTATGTAAGTGTTTTGTTTGCCGACACTGGTTCCTTGGTGTTTTAAAATGGAAATCCATCTTTTTTCTATAGAAAAATGTATCAATCTATACTTTTTCTTTGTGGCATTTATATGTTCTGTATACGTTTCTACAGTAGCCTACTTTTAGCATTGGTGGGCACCATCCCCATACAGAGTTCAACACACTGCACTGCACATGTCAAATCCCCATAAATGTGTGGGTTTAAAAATGTAGGTGGCTAGCCTGTGAACTGCCATTGGTAACTTAGACTGTAAAAATGTAGCCTTCATAAAGCTAATTATCCATAGCTCATCTTCTCAGCAGCTTTAATGAAACAGGCGTTTTTTTGGCCAAACACATCAAACTTTACTTCTTTTTTTGCTTAGCATTGGAAACTAAAGACTCTTTCAAATATGTATGTTATAGTGGTGTTGCATGCACATGGAAGGCCATGGGTAATGTTCAACTCCTTAAAGCCCTTAAAGACTTGGCTGAAAATCAAAAGATCTATTTATTCTTTACCCAATATGTTACTGAATAACAACGGAATTCAGTAACAAAAAAAAAAAAAAAAAAACCCATAAAAACAAACATCTTTACGTATTTAATGTTTAATACTCTGATTGTAGCTCAGTCAGACAACTCACTTTTGAAATGTTGCATCACAACACAGAATCTGGCATGTAGGCTCCAACTTCATCACTCGCCGCAGATATGTTTACACAGAGATATTGGGAAGTGATGAGCAAATATCTTAAACCCTTGGCCTAGCCTGCAGGTGGATGCTGGGATGGTGATGGGGCTCAAATGACAGGCAGCAATACTGATCAGGCAGTGACATTGACAGCACAGGAATAGAGGTTATTTTGCTGCTTAAATAGATGAATAATAGAATAATAGTGTTTGGTATATTGTGGAGAGTATGTGTATCTCGATGTGCAGCTCAAGTTGACTGCATGAACTGGCTTGCCGGCATCTCTCCAATTTAGTAACCCGCCAAGTTTACGATTCTGATTCCAACTGAGCCCTGCCCACATCAAACCAGTGAAAAGGGCACAGGAAAAAATAAATAAAGAAACCTCAAATGTGAACCAACCCAAACTGTTCTAACTTTGGCATAAAATAGTGTATTGATGTAGAGTCCTGTCACCCATACTAAGAGGCTGAATATGTTGGTAGGACCTCAAGTACATGTATTTTAACTTTTTGCACCTTGGCTATAAAAGAAGCAAGCTCTTCCTGTAGTTAATTGTGGCTCATGATATCATTTAGCTACAATATAATGCTTATAAGCCACAACAGTAGATGGATAACAATTATTGAGTGATGGAGGATAATCAAAACTCCCTCTCATCACAGCACAGTCACCCCGTGTCCTCTTTGGAAATTAAATACTGCACCAAAATCCTGGTGATCCCAGGCTCAAAACTTCCCATCTTTGTGAAATGTCTGGTAAATACATGAGGAAATGAATTCAAACTGGATGTTAATATATGGAAATAAGCTGCCAAAGAGCAATATGTCATTTTGATATATGCTGGTGTAATACTTTTAGAATGGGGATAAAATAAGTGATGCATTAATATATGTATGTATGTATGTGTGATGCTGAGTCTATCACTCTTGTATACACCACTGAGAGCTAATGTGTTTATGCTCATTTCTCCTTGTAGAGAAACTGTATGTTGTGTCAGTGGGTTGTAATGCATTTTTAAATTTATGTGAAAAACCTGATAGATGTGAGCATCTATCAGTGTTTGTATACAATAAAAATGCATTTCACAGGTCAATGAGTCGTGGATTTACACACTGTTTGTTGACTTGACATTGATGATTAGCTGCTTTGGAATTCAGTTACAAATGACACTGTAAGCATTACAAGTATAAGCCAGGCATTGCAAATGAAACAACATCCCTTTCATAAAACAGATAACCAGTTTTATGAAAGGGATGTTTTTATAATTATATTGTAGTTATTTTTCTTCCCCTTTTCTCCTCCTGTATCCTTTTCTGTCATCCTTCTCTTTTTACCTACTGATGTTTTTTTCTTCTCTTCTCCCCCTTCCCACCTTTCTCTCCTCAGTGTCTGACAGCCAAGCAGGAGCAGCAGGAGTTGGACCAGGAGGAGGGCCGGACTCCTCCCAACCCCGTTTCTCCTCCTCCCTCCCTACCTACCTCCCCGTCCAATGCCAGCTGAGTGGTGCTGACTCTGCATTCTTCCTGCGGGAAGCCAATCAGGAGGTTATGCGAAATGGCAGCCTATCATCACGGACTGAGCCTTTCTTCCTCCACCAGCTGGAAGCAGGTGTCGCCGCCTCACAATCCCTGCCGAGTTTCAATTGCAGCTACGGAAACCTCAGCATTGAGCAGCCAATCCCCGTGGAGCTGCTTCAGGGTCCACCACCGCATCTGCTGCTGACCACCAACCAGGTTACTCTAAACTGGAAGGTCAAAGGTCAAGTGGTGGTGCCCAAAGTGGGGTCAACAAGGCCCTGGATACAGGTACTGAAAGCTAGATTTTTTTGGGGGGATCTTCACTGAATTTTCACTCATAAATCTGCTATTGCACTTTAACAGGGCTTTAGGCTTCACACATACTTAAAATGTCAATCCCATACAAGAAGAATGATCAAGGATTTTATCTATAAATTTAGCACTTTTGTCTATTTGCTCATGTATTGACTACTTGAAGCTTGCTATCCACTAAAAGGTAAAAAGTACTCCATAGCTACAACTTGCTCTGTAGGGCTGAGGTGGTAATGAGTTGGTTGATGGTGGTCTCTGGATTTTCCACTATGAGCAACACCTTTCACATCACACACAGTACTTTAATCTATTGTCAATATAAATATATTGATGAATGCAGCTTTAAAGAATAAACCCATTAGCACAATGCGAAGAAATCTATCTGTACAGAAAGAAGGAAGAAGATAATGTTTTCATAAAGTAGAGGATTGTTTTCTTTGCTATTTCTAACCCATTTGGTCATTTTGCAAGGTTTTTAATATGGTTAACACTTGAAGCTGGATTTTACAGTGAAAATAATTTTTTATAGGTTATCATTAAGTATCTTGTTAAAAAGACGTCCATCCACTTTTTTTTACCCATTATGACATTGTGTATTTGCTTTGTCTTCAGGTACTGTTTTACCTTGTGGGGCGGCGTTGGGACGAGCCTGACCCTCCTCCTCCAGCCCTCCTACCATGTGTCAGAGCCTTGGCCATCCGTGACACAAGTGAAGCAGCACCCTCGGCGGGCTGCCGCCTCATGGGGCCATCTGGCATCTGTGTTGTCCGTCTGGAGATTCCCCCTGCTTGGTTTACACCACCACAAATGAGAAAAAGACCTCCTGAAGTGACTCTACCATCAGTGGATGTGTATTACTCAATTATACCAGTGGAAGGGGCTGGTCAAGAGTGTCCCTCCATTGTTAACGAGCCATGGAGGGGTCAGAATGCAAACGTCGGGCCTCTTGGAGGCCTGGGCATGGGCCTCGGGGGGCAGTGGAGCCCCCTACTGGATGGGGGTCTTCAGGACATGCTAAAAGCTGGTTCTGTGGTAATGACCATGGGCCCAGTTTCTGCTAAAGGAGAACGATTGAGACTGGATGAAAATGTGGAGGTTCTGGTGCCACCCAGTCCAGTTCGGCTTGGCAAGACGGTGGCGTTTGGCGTATACATGAAGACGGATTCAAACACGGAACAGTTTACACTGAGGTGGGAACACAAATGCTTTCATGTAACTTTTTGTCTCATTTCACTTTTTCTTCGGTTTCTCTCTGATTCTTTCCTTTTTCTATCGTCTCCACTTATTCCTTTCCTGCTCATCCTCTCTCTCATCTCTCAACACCGCCGCCTCTCGAGGTTGATGGCTGTCACCTTTGTGTACTCAGCCTCTTTCAGGAGCCAGCAATGCAAATAACAACCTCATGAATATTCATGACTGATCCGAGGAGAGAAGAAAACACAGAAAATGAGAAGCAGGAGAGAGAAAGGGTGACTGAGAGCGACTGAAGGTTGGGGAGACAGGGAAATGAAAGAAGAGGCATAAAATTAGAGTAGATCCTGGATTCTCAAACTGAAGGGTGGTACCTAAAATGGCTCTCAGGTGTGCTTTAAGAGGTCACCTACATGGTTTTTGGCATAAGCAACAATATGTTTTTATGTACTTGTATCCGAGGAAACGCATTTCTTTTTGGTTCGCTGGCTAAAAAATCTGTTTAAAACCCCTGATCTAGACTAAGCATGCATATCTGCATCCCATCTCTGCCTCATCATTTCACTGACTTTAGGGATTTCAAGCTGACAAATGACAGATGTGCAAATTTATCATTCTATCCAAAGAGCATCCCAGCACACAACACTGTGTCTGGATGTAGCATTACTACAACAAGATACTCCTATGGGGTTAGAGCTATTGAGAACATTTTAGAGGGTAACTTTGAGCAACTTTGGATATATTTTTTAGCAACTCAGTCAATCACAGTCATTCAGCACGGTAATTGGCACATGTCAACCGACTCAATTCAAAATTCTTAATTTAAAAGAGGTGTGCTTTGGAAGGTATAGAAGTTGGGAGGAATTTTTCAGTTACAATCAATGGCCATTATTATTATTATTATTATTATTATTATTATTATTATTATGTTATGGGTTTCATGAAATCACATGTGTAGGTTCTTTATATGAAATGAGTGAACCTCTTTGTGGCAGGAATGCCCTTGCACTTGTGTAAATTATGATTCTTTTTTAATTCCTAGAACTAGGAAGCAAAGGCAGTAAACATTATAGGGAAGATGGTCCTGGGGGGTTAATTGGGGTGTGAATACAGTTACAACAATGACAAGTGATAAGGCACTATTCACTATAAAGTGAAATTCTCTTCTGATTTAACCTTTTAACAGGTTATACTTTTCCTACATGTTTGTTTAAAAGATGCTGGAAAAAGCAACAGGACCACAGTTGTGTATTTCTTTGTGCACAATCACTCCTGAAGTCATCTGAGGACACTGGAGTAAAAAAGAACAAGAGGCTAGACTGCACTGCACCTTGTTCCACTACCTGCTGACAAAATTCAGACAAACACACACACGGTCAGAAAGAGGAAAATAAATACTCTACTGACATCCTGCACACACTTTTTTCTCTGCTGTGTACACACACATATACTTCTTCACTGTACATGCACACACACACACACACACACACACACACACCAATGCCTTACATGCTTGTTTGCTGTGTGTATTAAGCACACACACACACACACACACACACACACAGAAGTGATGAGGTGGCCTCTTTGGTTCCTCATACAGACACTTTGTCTCTGTCTTTGTTGTACAACACCCCTGCTGTGTGTGTGTATGTGTGTGTGTTTGTCTGTGCACACATACCTGTGTCTGGTCTACAAAAACATAGTAGAGGAAAAAATATCACATTCTCCTTTTTTATGATATCATATCTTGTTTTTCTTTTCTTTTTTATATTCTATTATGACATAATTTCAATCTCATGCATGTGTCCACATTTGTGTCCAATTTAAAAATCTTGAAGCATGTATTCCACTTATCTTTCTGTGTGCATCCGAGTTGAGATGTGTGTGCGTGTGTGTGTGTTTGCTCCCATCCTACTTGGAACTCTTGCCCTCTGCCCTAGCATACAGTCCCATGGATAATCTCCCATGTTAGAAGCACAGTCAGACATGTAATAAGGCTTAAGTGGATCTCACTCCTGTGTGTGCATGTGTGTGTGTGACGTATAATAAGCCTTAAGTGTGCTCCATCACACTGAGGTGATGTGATTATGATAAACTGCTGAAGAGATGGAGGGGCACGGAGAGAGGACGAGCGAGAGAGACAGAGACAGAAAGGAAAGGAAAGATAGTGAATGAAAAAAGAAACAAAGGATAGAAAAGCAGAGGTCATAGCAGAGAGACAGTTAACAGCAGAAATAAGAGAAGGAAAATCCTTATTTCACTTGCAATTCTTCCTTAATCTACAGCATTTCCAAAAAGCAAAGATATAAGGATGAGATTTAAGGACTTGAGGCACATTTTCCAAATTGGATTGAGCATCCTTGCTATATCACTGTCGCTGGGCTTGTAGTCTCATATAAACATACATGACTCTATCACTTTGTGATGGTTCAACTCATCTGCTGAAACTGTGGTTGTACTGACTGAGTTAACACAACTTTAACACACACTTCCACAATCTCTGTCAAAAACACACGCACACACAGAGCAAAGTTTTAGGTTTCTGATATTTTCTTGATTTTATGAATTCTAATGTTTTTTTCTTTGTACTCTATCATTTCTTAATGCGTTGGCAATATTGTCTTTGTTACACTCATGGCAATAAAGCAAATTAAATTGAATTGAATTGAATTGAAAATTAAACTGCCATGTCTTCTTCCCCCAATTCAGTTACAATTTGTTACGTGTGCCACGTAATCAACTTTGATTTTATTATCTAATCATTCCCTAACCACATTTAAAGGTCCAGTGTGTAACATTTCAAGGAACTATTGGCAGAAATGGAATACAATATGCATAGATATGTTTTCATTATTGTATAACCCCCCTCCTTAAATAAGAATAGTTGTGTTTGTGTTACCTTAGAATGAGCAAGTTTTATCTACAGAGGTAGGGGGTCCTCTTCTACCGCCTTGTTGAACTGTTTTTACAGTAGCCCAGAATAAACACACAGCCAATGTAGTTTCTCCTACATGCTTGGAAGGCTGTGCTGGATTCAGATGGTTGCAATCTGCAACTTCATTGCTAGATGCTACCAAATCACACACTGGTCCTTTAAGCCAAAGCCCACCAGTTTGTCCCCAGATACATCTCTGGTGATGCATGTCCCAATATATCTAATAAAAGTTTAGTAATGGGTAAAAAGAAATGCTCAAAACAAGGAGAAAAGGTAAATTTCCAAACTAAAGATTTCTCTAACTACCCAATGTACAGTAATTGCAGTCTGCTACCCCAGACCTATTATAGATCTAGTGGCAGTGTCACAGACTGTGACTGAATGAAAATGATACCGATAGACAATTAAACATGTTTATGGCTGAAAGAACACAACAGACATGTGAGACATGTGCTAGATGAGTCTGTAATTGGTTTTTGACACTGGTACTCAAGCTTAGATATTAATAAGAACCCCAAGATAATGGACCAAACTTAAATGGACTCCCTCGTCTCTTTTTGCTGATGCCTTGACTCACTTTGAAGGAAAAAGAGGATATTATGAAATGGAGAGACCTTTTGGTTAATAAAGAAATACTCAATAAAAGATTTTAGGTAGTTTTTTTTAATTAAATCAAAAGGTTTTCATGAAGAGTGTATTTGTCCAGCTTGTTATATTATTTAGGGTTTCATCATATTAGTTACAGTTTTCCCATTATTAAACACATTTCCAATGCAGAAGATCCTGAAATGTTTCCAGTTTGGCACATGGTGGTGATTGTATATTACGTGACATTTTTTGCACCAAGCAGACCTGCTTTTACAGGAAGCTACCTAAAGACACTGTTAACCTGCACATTTTTTGTCTCCAATGACATTTTGTTTCCATTTCCATTCCTACTTTTGTTGGACTTTTGTTTTTGCTGGTTCTACTACTCAGTACACCCTAAACTTCATACATGTAATATAACATATCTCCCTGTGTGCCAGAGGAAGATAGACTTACAACCAAATGTCTACAATTTTTATTTATTTACTAGATTTGAAGAACAAAAGGAGATAAATAGATCTTTATTGTCATTATGCTCAAAACAATGAAAAGCAGTTTAGCAGCTCTTCAGCAGTGTGCAGCATAGAATACCATTTTCTTTTATCTTTTAGAAATGATGTTAAGTAATGGCAAGTTATGATAGGGATGTTAATATGACTAGAATATAGGCTGGTGGAGACCCTGATTCAAACTTAATGTTGTCCATCAAAGCATAAAACTTTTTTTCTGCTGTATCATTGTACACATAACAAAACAGGATTTTAGCATGATGGTTTACACAATTTTATAAAAGTGACATACCTGTCAACCTAACTATAATGGAAATAGGGAAATGGTTAACTAAACTTCTACTGTAAACCACACCGCTGTCAATTAAGAATTTATTTCATGTCATGTCCGGCCCGAACTACAGAAACATATCTGACTTGGAAAAGTTTGATTCAGGTACACCCTTAATTCTTAGATTTGTTAAAATCTATTCTTCTGTTTACACTAGAATGTCCATAATGTGACATTTACATTTTAGGCTAAACTAGAACTTCCCTTTCCCTGCATTTATCCTAAATCAGTACAGTAGAAAACTCTTTCTTGAAAGTAAAACAAAAGACACAAATTAATTAGTATCTCTCAGCTTGGTAACTGGCACACCATCGCTTGTAACTTCAAAACGTAAAAAAGAGGGCAAAGCTTGATGATGAATTCATGTTCAATGAGCATTCAGCCAAAAGTGTGTAATACAGTGTTTAAATCTGTGAAAACCCTTGCCATAGAAGTTTGATGCTCCAAATCTATGTTTAGTTGAGCATTTCAGCATTTTTCAGCAGTGGGAATGTTGACAGACTGAGGGTCAAAGTGATTAGTATCTCCCTCATTAAAAAGCTGTCGTCTTGAACTGTGTGCTTTCGTTGTTTGGTTAGTTAATTAGCGAGATGATTACTGATGAGGGGATAAATGCGTATGTGTGTGTATGTGTGT